AAAAAAAAAAAAAAAAAGAAGAAGAAGAAGAAGAAAGAGCAGACATAACTAGGGAGTTTGTCTCTGGAGTTCCCTGACCTTCCCCCTTTCCATAGAAACTATTTCCATATAGCACCTTCAAGGGGACATCTTGAGAAAAGCTAGTAAACTAGATGGACGAACCTCCGAGTGCTAAGAATATCTGTGCCAACTGACTTTGACAGCTATGATGTAGGCAGACCTGGGTCTGGATCTCAGCCCTGCCACTGGCCGTCTTTGTGAAACTGAGCAAGGTCCCCTCCAAGCCTCCGTTTCATCATCTATTAGATGGAGGGGGAATAAAGCATTTCCTCTTATTGATGAAAAGAAATCATGAATGTAAAACATGAAGTTTGATGTCTGGGAAATAGTAAGTAATCAATAAATGTCATCCCCCCATCACCTGTCATCTGTCTCCTGGCTAGTTCTGCACAACCTGGGTGTCCGCCTGTCTCTGTTCCTCTTCTTGGCTCGACCCCAGCCTCCCTGATCTACCTCAGAGCTTCGATAATCACTTTTAACTGAGCAGTTCCAGGATCAAGCTTCGGCTGGTGAACAAGTCGGAGTTCCCCAGAGACCTGGTAGACATGAGCCCTGTACACGGCACAGAGACGGTGGGCTGTGGTCCTGGTGCTGAGCGTGGTTCCTGTTCCCCTGCAGGTCCAAGTGGGTTCCCCGGGGCGACTACATCGCCTCCAACACGGACGAGTGCACAGCCACGCTCATGTATGCCGTCAACCTGAAGCAGTCCGGCACCGTCAACTTCGAGTACTACTATCCCGACTCCAGCATCATCTTCGAGTTTTTTGTAAGCCCCTGGCCAAGCCCCTGAGGGTGAAGACTGGGAGGCTCAGCTTCATTTGCAGGAACCGGCCAAGGGCACAGTCCTGCCGGGGAAATCCCTGCCTGGAGAGAGCTGTGGGCAACCTGCGCTCAGGCCTCAAGAGGACAGGCAGAAGGCTAGGGCCTCTGAGCAGGTGGAACGGGCTGGGAGGTTCCTAGGTGCTCTACGCGTGTCTGTGTCACAAGTTACTTGTGTGACCGCAGTGCTCTCGCGTGCAGCTAGCTCCCGGTCTCTCTCAAGGCTCACGTGTTCTTAGTCCCTAAAGGGAACTGGCGATCTTCTTTCCCAGGATGGGCCCTCGGGAGGGCTGGTGCAGCGTGGGAAGGCACTCATTTCCTCGGGAGGCTGAGACTCTGCTCTGACCTCCAACTCTTGCTGTCTCAGGTTCAGAATGACCAGTGCCAGCCCAGTGCCGATGACTCCCGGTGGATGAAAACCACAGAGAAAGGATGGGAATTCCACAGTGTGAGTGCCACCCTGGCCTCCCTTAGGGGTTGCAGAAAGTGGACCAAAGGCCTTCCTCATAGAGCTTCCTCCTATTGGGACTTCCAGGCTTCTGTCTCTGGAGGGCAGGGGTCTGGTATAAGAGGAGTGCTGTAGCTCCTCTCCTCTTGAGTTGAAATGTAGGTGTGGGTTGACCCCAAGAACCAGCAGCTTTCCAGCTTTAAGGCCAGGTTTCCTGGGATTGGGGCTGTCCTCTGGAGAACTGGAGAATTACGCA